CAGCATCGTCCCGGGACGTCCTGCAGGAACTCAGGAACCCTCGGTGGCACCTCTCGCGACCTACCCATCAACCAACCAACCCCCAGCTCGGGAATTATCACCATGTCGGCCTACAGACTCGTTCAAGCAGGAACCAGCGTCTCCTAGCGGTAGAGATGCCCCACACCACCGCTACCACGTTGGGGAGTGATTGGCGGTGACAGGGGATCGCCAGTGATGGGGACGGGGAAACATTGCCCTTCTCCTCACACGTGCTCTCTCTACTCTCGACTCGATTGTTTGCCCCCCTCACCATGGCAGTGCGGATCAATGGCCCAGAAGAGAGACTTGGGAGCTTACCCGGGCCATTGGGTCTTCTGCAGGGAGCCATGGCACCGTCATCGGCGGCAGCTTCACCAGGTATAAAGGCGAGTCGGCCGCCTGGCCCAGCCGTGTCTCGCCATGTGATGTGATCGCCAGCTCCAGTTCGCAGTCCTCTCGTCCAATTCCACCTTCCCTCAACGCTCACGATGAAGGGTTTCGCTCTCGCTGCCACCGCCGTTGCCGCCTGTGCGCCTACTGCTTTCGCGCAGTGGGCCGAGGCCGTCGGCAAGTCGATCAACTTCACGTCTGTGCCTGGCTACTTCCAGCAGGATGACTTAGCGACCAACCCCACGGGCTTCGACTATGTGAGTCCGCCGTGAACAGAGGAAAAGAATCTGCCGACCAAGTCTCACGCTGACCCCGAAATCGCAGGCCTCGACCAACTTTGGCCTCATCGATCGCGAGTACCCCACCGACAAGCACTTTGACCCCAAGGGCGAGAAGAGCCAGTGGCAGCGCTTCGAGGCCTGGCTCAGCTACCTGAACTCGGGCTGCCACAAGGACGGCAGCGTCACCTACAAGATTCTCTTCATGGGCCGCCACGGCGAGGGCTGGCACAACGCCGCCGAGTCCTTCTACGGTACTCCGGCCTGGAACGTACGTCCTCTATCCCTTGGTTTCGCATGGCCGTCTCTGCTTCAGAATTGGCCTCATGAAAGGGAAACGAGAATCGCTAATGGTGGAGTAGTGCTACTGGGCTGAGCAGCAGGGCAACGGCACGGCCGTCTGGGCCGACGCCCACCTCACCCCCGCCGGCATCAACGAGGCCCTCAAGGCCAACAACTACTTCCGCGACCGCATCGCCACCCAGAAGATGCCCTACTTCGAGTCGTACTACGCCAGCCCCCTCGCCCGCTGCGGCCAGACGGCCAACTTCACCTTTGCCGGCCTCAACCAGCCCGCCGACCGCCCCTTCGTGCCCCTCGTCAAGGAGGGCTTCCGCGAGGGCATGACGGTGCACACGTGCAACTGGCGCGCCAACAAGACGTCCATCGCCACCGAGTTTCCCTTTTTCGAGTTCGAGGCCGGCTTCACCGAGTTTGACGAGCTCTGGCGCGAGGACGAGAACGAGACCAACGCCGCCAAGGACGCCCGGGCCCGCGCCGTCCTCGACGACGTCTTCCGCGCCGACGACAAGACGTGGCTCAGCATCACGAGCCACTCGGGCCAGATCACGAGCCTGCTCAAGGGCCTCAACCACCGCCCCTTCCGCCTCGCTACGGGCCAGATCATCCCCGTCCTCGTCAAGGCCGAGGCCGTTTCGCTGCAGCCCACGGCCACGTTCCTCGCCCACGAGCCCTCGGCTACCTGCGATGCGCCGCCTGTGACGAGCCTTGCCGACAAGGGTTGCGTGTGCGCCACGTCTACGTCGGCGGCGCTACCTGATCCTACGGAGACTGACGAGTGCTCTGTGTGAGGCGCTGCCAGAGATGAGATGAGAAGGATAGTTGATGGAAAATAATAGAATCGATTAAGTACGGCAAAAACAAATCATCTAGCATGTAAGGAGTGTTCCACACGTGAGCAGGTCGTCGGCGAGAAACACTATCTGTACCCCCTGGCCTCCTACACACGTAAGCCCATGAATCATGAACAGCCACGCCGCAATGCCCTCAGCCGTTGAAGCTCGGAGGTGGCTGTGAATATACATCGGCGCGGGATGTGCGTCTGCCATGCTTCGATCCCGGTTTGCTGTTGTGCTCAACCTCCCCTGGCGATCCTTCGGCGCTGGTCACGTCAGAGGCGCGGGATCCTGCCCTCGAGTGACTTGGGGAGAAATCAAAGCCAGTCGGCGACGACGATGAATCATTCCCCGGTGTGACGATCGAGGGAGTGCGTCGGGATGAGACGGCTGCTACACAGAGGAGATGGTCAGCACGGCGGCTCAGTAAAACGACACCTCGGGGTCAAGCGCTGTTACTCACCACCACCACCACCGCTGCCGCGAGGTCTATGTCGCCGACAGATTGCGAGCGCATTCTTCAGTAGATCGGCCTGCGTCTGAACCATCTTCCTCTCGGCCAGCACGTCCTCTGACTCTAGGGCGAGCTCTTCGACCCTTTCATCTTCCATGCGATTGACTCTGCCAGGGGTCAAGATGTCAGGCAGGCGGGTGATCAGACAACTCTCGAGCGCGAGGTACGCTACGTTCTCCGTGAAGGTCCGACGCGACATCTAGCAGAAGTGATTAGCGCCATCTCTAATGGAAGCACTCCATCAACGAGACAGAGAGAAAAAAGGAAGAAGCCCACCTCGTAATATGTCTCCATGTTGTCGATCGTCTGGTCAATGCCAAACTCATCCCTCAGCGACGGCGTCTTTTGAACGGTGCGGGCGACATCATAGCGATCCATGGTCCCCTCCACGATTCCCTCGGCCAGCGCGGATCCCATATTCTGAAGAACGTCGACAACGCGCTCAGTCACCCGCTCAACCTCCCTTATCGACATGGTCGAGTTGAACTCCGCCACAAGAGGCATTCCGAATCCGGCTTCATAAGGCAAAAGCAGCTCGTCCAGCTTGGCCTTGAGCTCCTTTTTTTTCTTTTCGAAGAAAACATCCACGCACGAGTGGAGGATTGCGTCCAGGGTCGTCTTGTCGTCACCGATGATATGTTCAAACAGCTGCTCCACGAACGACTTGCTCAGCTCGGTCACGACGTCCAGGTGTCGTTCGGCAATGCCCCGCCAGGGCTTGGCCTGCCGCCGGAACATCTGGATCGCGAGATCTGTGTTTGGTGACCCGGGGAATTCTCTTCCCTGGTTGGCGGCCGCGAGAGCCCGCATCTCTGTCTTCAGGGCCTCTTCAAAGACGGGCTCTGGCTCGGGAAATTGGAAATACTCCAGTGCCTCCTGGAGATGCACCGGCGGCGGAGCGACGTCCTGTGACGGCGACGTCTCGCCAGGCGGGCCGCCGCGAAGAATCTGCTGGCTCATGCCCCTCGTCATCAGGATATGGTGGAACGCGCTGTTGAGGTTACGCAGTTGCGCGCGCAGCTTGCGGAGGTTTTTCTCGTCGAGGTCACCAAAGAAGCGTTCGCCGTAGTTGCCACTGATGGCGCTCCGCGCGATGCGCTGAAACTCCTCCGCAATGTCGACGAGGTGCGCTCGCATCTCGGGCTGCGTAGAGCGGGCCTGGCCTAGCTGCTTGAGTGTGCCTTCCTTGTCCTCGATGCCACGCTCAATGGCCGACACGAGGCCGGGCAGCGTCTTTTGGATATGGCCGAGAAGAACCTTTCCCAGCTTACGCCGGAAGCTGCCAATGCCCTTGTTTCCGGGCGGGAAGTACGCCCAAGCACTCGTCTCGAAGAATTTGGCCTCGGTGGCGTCACGTTCATCGGCCGTCACGTCGCCCTCGTCTTCGGCCCTGTTCCTGAGAACGTGCCAGCCGAGGGTGAGCTGGTGCCTTGGTTCTTCGTTCCTGGCGAGCTGGAGGTATTTGGCTTCGTTAGAGAGACCTGGCTTTGGCACGTCGGGTTTCGTGATGACGCCGAGTGTACGCAGTCTCTTGGGATCGTGCTCCCTGGCCTCGTCGAGAATCCGCTGGGAGGCTAGCTGCGTGCTCGCTGAGAGCACTGCCAAAATGATGCTCTGTTCTTGAGCCATGTAGCTCTTGACGAGGCGGTTGACAACCTTGATGCCCTCGAGAGATTGCTCGCCCGTTGAAGAGTGGTAGAAACCGGGAAGGTCTACGAGTGTAAGAGATGGGACATCGGGTCCGGAAACCTCGATGCGCAGCACGTCTCGTGAGAAGCCGACATCTGATCCAGGCCTGATGCCCATGCGTTCCGTAGCCTCTTCGATCAGGGATGGGAGGCGGCTGAGGTCGAGTTCTTCCCGGTGAAAGGGCTCCTGATCCCCCGAAGACCCCTTGGCGAAGCGGATGGTGACATGAACATAGGAGGAGGAAGAGCGTCGGAGAACCAACTCCGTGGCGAAACGCGTGCAGAGATCGCCTTTGACAGGAAAAGGGACGCGCGAGATTGCTTCTAGGACGGACGACTTGCCCGAGGACTGGTCGCCGACGACAATGATCTGCGGAAGGCTGATGATGTCGCCCACGTTGATAGAACGAAGCTTGTCAATCGTGTCCAGGAGTGCCTTGGCCTCGGGGCTGTTGAGATCGTCCATGGCGGAAGCATCAAGGGCAACATTCTCGGCAACTGTGGTAGCCATGTTTGAGTTGTACGAGTAGTAACGCGTGTGGAGGAGGCTGGTTGTCGCAAAGCAGAGGGAAAATAGCACGGACTAAAGGGATTACAATAAAAGTGACGCGCCTATTATGTCTTAATATTACGATGTAGAAGTAGGAGACAGAAGAGTGCAATGCAGTATTGGATCTGCTCAGCAGCAAAGAACTCTGGTGCGTGCAGTCCTTTCAACACGTTTCTTCTACCTGCTCGAGATTTCTTACTCGACAATTCTTACTCGACATGAGATCAAGAGCCTCGTGCTGCTGGGGCATTCTTCCATTTGCCATTCCCCATGGTGTAGGTGGTGCATCGTTGTCATCCTATCTTTAGAAATAGTGTTGGTGCAAACATGCAATATCAATGGCAGTTGGTAGCAGGTTTGGGGCCTGAAACCCGTGGTCGTACTGACTGTGGGCAGAATGGACCGGAGTCATATGGCAGCTCCAACCAAATGGCAGACCATGAGACAAATGTGGCTGGATATCTGCAGGACCCTGGATTGCGTGATAGGTCTATGTCGTGGGCCAGCGCCTAAATCATTCGTGAACATGGGCGTAGCTGCAGCCAACATGGTTGCATCCCAAGCTCGGCCTCTTTGGCGGCCAAGCAATGACCTGTCATGTCAAGATGCACTAGTCCCGGCCATGGCCGAATGTGGTTCGCCATAAAACATTACAGGGGAACAGTACCTGAAGCCTATCTTCGGAACTGAAAGTTTAATTGCCTCCTCACCGTCTTGGCACTTCAGCCTTGGATGGTAGGTAAAAATGCTGCGTTTTTGAACTACCTTTGCAGCCCCGAGTCCCCGACTACTGCCTTGGCTGGGCGACTGGTACGCGACCGTAGGCCAACACGGGGTTTAGGCACCTAAAGATGGCCCGCTTCTAGGACTACAAGGAGCATCTCAAACCTGGTGTTTAAGCCAGAACCCACACCACTACCTCCCTCCAATATTGCAGTACCGGTTTCCTCGAATACCGATTTAACCAGAAGCCCCCGAAGTGCAGGTAAGTCCAAGGTTGCTTGGAGTATTGGCACACAACACCGTGTTGGCACCGCTGGGTGCTGTGACGCTGAACCGCTTCACCGTGATGCCACATGTTCCCGAAGGAGAGCAGTTGATGTTGGCTACGTTGTTCTTGTAGTGCCCCGACGTGGTACCGGTGAAGCCGTCAAGAACGATACCCTGCATGTTAGCCGCGGCAGGATGCGCCGTGCAGTCGGCTGTCGTGGTGGACTGGTAGCAGGTAAGGACGCGGAAGGCATAATCGCACTTGTCGCAGATGATGTCTTGCCATGTGACGTTGCTGATGCTGGCGCTGCCGTGGCCCGATGAACTGTCAAAGAACTTGATGCCGGCGGCCTTGTCTGAGCTGGCGACCGTGCAGTTCTTGAAGATGCTGTTCGTGACAACATCGTTAGCCCCCGAGGTGCCGGCAAGGCTGCCGACGGAGAGGCCGTGCGAACCGGTGCAGGTGACGCCCTCGACATGCACCTGGTCAGCTCCAGGCTTCAGAACCACGCAGTCATCGTCGTTGGTGACCTGCGAGTTGAGCACCCTGACGTTCGATGCGGGCCCAATGTCAAAGCCGTCAGTGTTGTGGGCGACGTTAGCCGAGGTGCTCACAGAGTGCAGAGTGAGATCAGAGTAGGTGATGTCTTTCGAGTTGCCGTTCGTGACGATGTGGAACATGGGCGCATCCTTGAGCGTGAACCCACTGAAGTGGATGTTATTGCATCCCTCAACCCGAATGAGCTTGGGCCGAACATAGTCGGTCGCTGTGATGATGTGGTCCCCTACTCTGGTGTTAGGAGGTCTGCTTTTATGTGCGAATGCCGACATAAAAAACACATGCTCGGCGGCTTTGGTGGCACTCACAGCTTGCTTGGCCGTTGCCGTTGATGGTGCCTGACCCTGTGATAGTCGCACCGGTGATCTTAGATAGGGAGATGACCTGTGATTTGCCGTTCCAGTAATTGAAATCGGTCGACACGGATAGCACGCCGTCTAGCTGCAGCGTACATCCAGTACAGCCGGCGAAAGACAGCTGACTGTTGATATGATAGGTTTGGCCAGCGGGAATCAGAATTATGCCACTTGCGCAGCTATTTATGGCAGACTGTATGGCCGGCACATCGTCAACAGTACTTGACCCGCCTGCTGTCGGGGTACACGTTGTTGCTCGGGGATGGAGGGCTACACGATCCGGTGTTAGGGGGATTGGCTCAGAAAAGGCAAGGCCATTGAGGCTACTCAAGAGGGCAGAGATGACGGTCAATCTTGTGAACATGGCTGCTAGAATCCGGCTGATGGCGTTCAAGAAGATGTATTTGAGAATGGTCTTGAGAAGATTGGTCGTTTACGAAAGGCGAAGCTGTGACGGCTATATATACTGCTCGGACGACAACCCTTCATGTGTCGGGGGTCTTTCGCAATGCCGATGCCGTGTTGTTAAGCATGCCGAACAATGATGATATTCGCGCTAATGCCATATTGCCAAGAAGTCTGGACTCTTGGAACGCTGCAGTAGACTTGCATCACACTAGGGGCACCTGAGCATGAGTCGCTGTGTCAACATTGGTGGAACTCTGGGTGTTCTCTTTACTATAAATCTGTAAAGTATGGTTCCCATCCTGAAGCGGACGAAAGGGAGGGGTGCGTGTCGGGTAAAGAGCCTTGACCCGGGCCCTTGCCTGCACCCACAGCAGTAGTAATGACTGAATGCGGCAGGCTCATATTGGACTCGTACGCAAGACTGCTTGAAACTATCGTGTTGATACCGTTCGGACCGCCATGAGTGACTATAGTTGGTACCATACATTAAGCTATTTGTAACGACCTGTAGTTGGCGCGTGCGTGAAGCCATCTGGAACTATGATTGGTCCCCAAGGGCAGTCATACGATGTTGAGCAGGATCCTCCCCGCATGGCAGCGTCGTACTGACTTTTCCTGGTAACGCTTTGCGGCAGCATCCGAAGCGCAAGTAGCTGAGACTACTCCATGGGGCCAAGAAACCGCATCGAGAGAATGTGTAGATGTAATTGAAAATCATCCTGAATGTGTAGGCCGTAGGCCTTTGCACCAATCTGCTACCATCCACAATGCGATGCATGCTTTGCATCGCGTGGACATGATCCGAACCGCTACCCCATGTATAGTCTAATTGATTGTGTAGCTTCATACAATCTCATTGGAAACCACCGGCCCTGCTGTCTAAATGAATCAACCATCCCGAAAGGAAATCGCCCATGGGTGCACCGCCTAGGCACGGATCACCGGCCGACTGGAGGGACGGCAGCCCGCTATGCCAAGACGGGATGGCGCAAGCCAAGACGCGCGTTCATCCTGACAGCTGCGGCACTTCCCCTGAACCGACACACCGGAGCGTCGTCCTCGGCAGACAATGGCCAAGACTAGCGATGGTAATGGAGATTATCGCCGCAGGTCTTCACCCGACTGTGCCGAGAAACCCATGGTACTGGAATTTTCCACGAAAGGAAGACGACAAAAGGGGCCCGCTTCGAAACCTAAATGGAAGAGGCCCAGTCGTTGCTGGCGGCAGGCCAGTTTTGACCTAGACCGTTGTCCTGTGGTGGAGGTCGTGAAGCTGAACCTGGGGTAAAGGAGGACTCTCTTCCCCCGCATCACTCATATCCTGGCCCATGGAGATTTGCTTTCCTCGGAGGCGCGCGTGACCAGGCTCTCCCTCCACCTTAGACACGATGGAGAAGCTCATCCATCACCTGGCTCGTAGGAGTAGCTGCCCCAAGCTCCCGGATGTCCGGCACAGACGGAAAAACCAAGATGCGGCCCTAATCCATTTACACGGGTCCCCGACAGATACGTGAGCATGTCATTGGCTCTCAAGCCATATGGCTGCAGGGATCAAGGACTTGTCTCCTGTTCAGATTAAGCAGACCTTAATCTTGCGCCAAAACATGGAGATCATGAAGGAAAGTAGCTCAGACGAGCAGAGACGATATAAGAATGGACCATAGACCGTGTGAAAAGACGAACTTCGAGTCCTTGTCCAGCATCTCGACATCAGTCTCTCGCTACATTTGATCAATCATCATGCTCGTCTCAGTCAGTGCCTTGTCATTCGCATGGCTGGCGGCAGCTGTTCAAGGCGCCGTTTGTGCAGCACCAGCCAAGGCCTCAATTGTGCGCCCCAACGTCAAGGCTTGGCCACTCAATCCCGGCAATCTTCACTTGAACTCCCCCGCTCGTTCAGCCGACAAAGTTTGCTATGTCAAGCCCAGTTGCGTTGGCAAGGACGACGCCGCTGCCATCCTCAAGGCTTTCCAGCAGTGCAACAATGGGGGAACGGTCGTTTTGGACCGAAACTACACCATCGCATCGCCACTAGACTTGACATTCCTGAATGCCATTGATGTTGCGATCACGGGCACCATCAATTTCAGTGACAACATGACGAGCTGGGCGGATCACATGTTCAAATACGCCTACCAGGATTCCCTTGCCATGTGGCGCTTCGGCGGTAAAGACGTCAACATCTACGGCCAAGGAGTGGGTGTCATCAACGGAAACGGCCAAGCGTGGTGGGATGCGTTTGCCGCCAACTCGGCTCTGCTCCGCCCGATTCTCTTCGTTGTCGACGGACTGCACGGTGGCTCGGTGACTGGCCTGAACATGCGCAACCCTCCCGATGTAAGCCCCGTGTCCCAAGCGAACCTTTCGGTGTGAGACCGATGCACCAAGCTAATGATTACAAGTGGTTCAACTTGATCGCAAATAGTTCCAACATCGTTGTGAGCGACCTCGATCTGAGGGTCAAGGTAATGAATTTCCAAGACTTCGACATGGGGGCGCATCAACTGACAGATCCCCCAGAGCGTTAGCAAGAACGTCGCTAAGAACACTGATGGCTGGGATACCTACCGTTCAGATTCCATCGTGATTCAGAACTCGGTCATTAACAACGGTGATGATTGTGTTTCATTCAAGCCCAACAGCACCAACATTGTGGTTCAAGGCCTCCAGTGCAACGGCTCTCACGGAATTTCCGTTGGTTCTCTGGGCCAGTACATTGACGAATTTGACATCGTGGAGAACGTCTATGTTTACAACATTTCGATGGCCAACGCCTCAGATGGCGCCCGTATCAAGGTCTGGCCGGGGATGTACACGCCTTTTCAGCCCACTTTGTCAGGTGGTGGCGGCTCAGGCTACGTCAAGAATGTTACCTACGACGGCCTCTTCAACACCAATAACGACTGGGCAATCGAACTCACCCAATGCTATGGTCAGAAGAACCTGACCCTCTGCAACCAATATCCCGTGAGTTGAAGGAGAGCTCTCACTCAACACCAAAATGCAACGACTGACGTCCACAGTCGAACATGATCATCCAAGACGTTGTCTTCAAGAATATGTGGGGCACGACATCCAAGTCCCATGACCCTAATGTCGGCACGCTTGTCTGCAGCGCACCAGGGGTAAGCCAATTTGATCGCTCGTTGTGTTGGAGAAAGATAGCTGACGGTTCTCAACAGCTCTGCAAAAACATCCGAGCCCAAAATATTACCGTCACACCCCCGAGCGGTAAACCGGCCAAGTTTATTTGCACCAACCTAGACAACTCACTGCTTGACATCACCTGCAGCTAACCTTCGAGATAGAGCGAATAGACTGTACATAAATTGGTGTAAGAAAAAGAACAGAATTAAGTGAACCGAAATCAGTGATGATACAGTTTGATTAGGCTTGTGTTCTTGACAGAAGTTGAATTTTTCTGTACTGCCTTGGGTTACGACACCCGTAGTTGGCTATCCGTCGATCCGTTCCTCATCAACGTGCATCTTTCTATTCACTCTATCAATTGTGCTCCCGCTTCTCTGCAGTTAGGAACTTGAAGCATCGTATCAGTAACTGTTGCGTTCAGCGAACGATACCCAACGCCCATTTGCTGGACGACCTTTGAGCCATCTACTAGATAGATGCGTTCGTCGGCCTTCGATTTCCCAGACCCAGGCTCGCCAATCGGAATACGACTTGCGAGCTCTGGATGGTGCTCTCTCGCTATGTCCGCTGCGGCCTGCCAGTCAAGGTCGTGAGCAACGAGATATCTCTGGCCGCTTGCCTCGGGTGTCTCCATAGCTGCCCTGGTGATCGCAGCACAGTCACCAGCGTCGACACAGCCACCAAATATGAGTGCCGGAATATATGGCATCAAAGATCTCCCATAGCATAGCGATGGTTGAAGTTGTTTGTGTTGATTCAATTCGATCCAGGTGCGGCCCTAGGATCATGGAAGGATTGATGCAAACGAGATCAAAGCTCGGCTTGTTCTGGCTGAACCAATCCCATACCGCGCGTTCTGAAAGAGACTTGGAAGCGATGTACAGTTCGCTGCGGTCCTCTATTGACGCTGCCTCATTGAACGTGATCGGATTGAAATCTTTCTCCGAATACGTGTAGCCTGGTCGAAAGCCCTGAGCAGGGTTCAACATGGCCGAGAACGAAGACAAGTGAACAACTCTTCGGCATGAGAACGAAGTCAACCACGATACTGTATCCAGGGTAGCGATTGCACATTGAATGACAGGGTTCAGCATGTCCCGAATGTTGTCTTCACCAAGGCCATGTACAGGGCTAGTGGTACGCATGACAGCTGTGATCGTATCGTTGAGGGCATCATTATACTTTTCAGAGTCCGTAATATCGGTCACGATTGCGATTTCGAGCCGAGAACCCCAGTAGCTGGGGAACGTTTCGCGAACTTTGTCACTGGCCTTCTGTGATCGTACAACGCCTCTGACTAGGTAGTCGCTTTGTAAGAGTTCGTTGATGATATGCAGGGCAGTGTAGCCGTTTGCACCTGTTACTAGAACCGTTTGCTCGGACGAAGACACCATTTCGGATGATGTTGATGACAGAAAATTCTCTTGCCTGGGTTGAGTCATCAGGTCGAACAGTTCTAAACATCTGATTTGATGGCCCTGGGAGGAGCATTTCACCCCTATCCGCCCTTGCTAAAGTGTGATATGTCTTCTACTGCTATCTGGAGACCCCAGGCGAAAGTATGACACTTCAAAGAGTCTCCCATGAATGTATGCCTGTTCTCAATGACCTCCGGCATTGCGAGGAACGGGGATAGTCCCTTAGTTGGATCAGTCATTTTAATAAGCCATGTTCTGTCGCTCTTGTGTTCAAAGATCGAATTGAGGGGACCTTGAAGGCCTGACACGGCTTTCTTTATCAAAGCGAGTTTATTTCGGCGACGTATTGAAGTTTCTTCGACGAACTATCGAACTGGCTATCAAGGTTCCGAGCCGACAACCGAGAGAGGATACAGGGCCTTCGGCGAGACCCTTAATAGGATCTGGCATGTCGCGTGGCTCGATCTACGAATGGGACCCCAACACGTGCACACTGAGGATCGCGGTTCGCATGCAATTTGATTATCACGGCTTTCCGGGCTGGGAGGGCTGACATTTCCGATCTCAAGGGGGGGTTGGAAGCCCTTGACTCAACAATGCACTCAAAACGCCTCGCGAATGACTACGCAGGTATCAGTAAATGGAAGCCAAGTCCTAAGAAGCTTGGTTCTTGCCAAAAGAAGAAAAAGAAGAAAAGATTTATGAGTTGATTTCTGCTTGACAATGATTCCATTCGCGGGTAACATCATGAAGTGAGGTGTTTTGCGGACCAATGAGGCAAATGGCGCCCAACCATCATCATAACACCGCAGGTATCCACCAAGACGCACTGCGAATGTCACCTCACGCTTTCGGGTCCAGACCGTTGGAAAAAAAGAACAAAATCAACGACGGATACAACCTTACCTGCAGGTACGACGGGCCAATTTGCCCGAATTGGCAGGCTATGGATCCGTATGCTTCTTTGAAGCACCCGGATGGTCAACAATGATGGGTGTCGGCGTCCTTTGTACCGGCATTCAGACGGATGTCAGGGCGTGGTAGAGAGACCGATGGACCACGTGCGATGAGTTCTGGAATCAAGCGATGCATACTTAAGGCTCGGCGTGGCTGTTGGCTTCGGCTCATCGCGTCCATCCTCACGCAACGACAGTGATCGACACCCGACGAAATGCGTCTGCCAAGCTTTCTTCTTGCCCTGCCCCTAGCAGCGGCGACAATTCAGGACATCATCCAAACCCGGGATGACGAGAATGCCGGAGGTACTCCGTCCCCGGTGATCAAAAGGTTCATTGTTGAGGCAGAACCGGTGAGCTCTGGAACTTATCAACTCAGCTATGACGCTTCCAGCTGATTTCTCCATGATAGGGTACCCCGTTGGCCGACCTGTCGCGGAAAATTGAGGCGAACGGTATCAAGGTCTTGAAAACCTTTGACTCGGATGTCTTTGCTGGGCTCAGTATCGAGACTGAACATGAAAATGTGGACTCTCTGCAGGAGGTCACCGAAGTAGCACGAGCTTGGCCTGTCAACAGGTTCAAGCTAGCAGCTGTCGACGTATCTGCCTTAAGCCATGATGCCATGGCCGGGAATTGGTCTGTACACCAGGCCACCGGAGTAGACAAGCTTCATGAGGCGGGACTATTTGGCAAAGGGGTCAAGATTGGTGTCATCGACTCAGGGATCGATTACAATCATACAGCAGTGAGTGCTCCAGTGAACTGTTTGACTTATCTCGTTTGTTTCTTCGCAGCTGACTGGTTCTTATCAGCTCGGTGGAGGAATTGGGCCTGGGTTCAAGGTCATCGGTGGTTATGACTTGGTTGGCCAGAGTAAGCTCATTGAGCGGCTGTGATCCCGCCGTGCCTGTTTTGCTGACCGTCCAACGCAGATTACAACGGCAAGAATGCCAAGGTGCCTGATGATGACCCAATGGACACAATCGGTCACGGTACTCATGTTGCTGGCATTATTGCTGCCAAAAGCGAGCAGTAAGTCGCCTGGACAGCCTCGACCATGGGCGTATGCATGCATGGGCTAATCGGTTCCAGTAACGTCGGTGTTGCGCCAGAGGCGACGCTGCTGGCATTCAAGGTTTTCGGAGCTGTGAGACGCCATCGCTTGCGAAATGCTGAGGGACGGCCAATGTGCTGATTTCTACTTCTAGGTGGACGGAACTGATGAGGATTCATTGGTTGATGCAACCCTCATGGCGTATGAGGCTGGTGTGCGTGACTCCAAGTGTTGTCTTCCTCCTCAATTGCTTTCCTCGACACTAATCTCGGTTTTAGGTCGACATAATTACAGCAAGTGTGGCTCGCGCAGCGGGCTTTTCTGACGGTCCATGGGCCTCGATCTGCTCGAGAATTGTTGACAAGGGCGTTGTCGTTACCGTTGCGGCGGGAAACGACGGAGAAAACGGACCTTTTTACGCAAGCAGTGGCTCCTCTGGAAACAACGTATTGGCTATCGCTTCAGTCGAAACAGGTGTTGTTCCTGCGCGTCCGTGGAACGCAAAGTTCTCACTTGACGGAAAGTCCGACAATGTGCAGCTGGGCTACATCCCATCCGTCAACCGCCCTTTATGGAACATCACCGGTCTGCCAATCGTCGCCATCACTCTCAATGCATCAGTACCAGATGACGCCTGCAAACTTCCAGCCGATACACGAGACCTTTCCGGTTCTGTTGTTCTCGTTCGGAAAGGCGCTTGCAATCTGTACGACAAGCAAGACAATCTGGAAAGGTTTGGTGCTCGTTGGATTCTCCTCTACAACAATGACGACAGGCCGTTCTCGACAGTCATGACCTCTACCCGCAAGTCTCAGATGGTCATGATCGACTCAAAGACCGGTGCCACTATCATCGACGCCATCAAGGCCGGGGCTAATGTCACAGTTGACTTCACTGTCCCCAGAGATGACTCTTGGCGAGTAGGTTTTAATGACGTTGCCAGAGGTATCCCTTCTTACACCACGAGCTGGGGGGCCACCAACGAACTACAAATCAAGCCAGATATTGCCGGTCCCGGTGGCAAGATTTGGAGCACTGCGCCCGGTAACAAATTTGCACAAATGAGTGGAACCTCAATGGCGACGCCTTACATCGCTGGAGTGGCTGCGCTGTACATTAGCAAGTTTGGGGGCCGTTCTGTTCATGGATCTGGATTCGCTAAGCAGCTCGGAGACCGCATCATTGCCAGCGGTACTTCGGTTCCCTGGCAGATTTTCGAAGCAGTCGGCTTGCCCAAAGACTTTGGCTTCCTGGCACCAGTTGCTCAGGTTGGGTCCGGCTTTATTAACGCCACGAAGGTCTTGGAGTATCAGACAACTCTGTCGTTCGAAAGGTTCAACCTTAACGACACCAATAACTTTGAGCGATACCACAAGGTGGACATCACGAACAAGGGCGACAAGGACGTCACCTATACCTTCCGACTTGAGCCGGCCGGTGGCTTTAATGCCCAAGGGCGTACTCCTGGGCTCCTTGGCGATATCCTCGACACGCGCCCGAGTAGCATGGTTCCGCGTGTGACCTTTCCAAGTGGAACCTTCCGCGTGCGGGCGGGCGAGACAAAGACGGCCCAGTGAGCATTGTCTTTCATCTTCCAACAAGATCGCAATGAATTCTAATATAAGAACCAGGTTCAACTTCATGTACCCCGAGGTCGCAGATACATCGCTGTTGCCAATTTACAGTGGCAAAGTCATCATCGATGGAAGCAATGGCGAGAGTCTCGGCATACCATATCTCGGTAAGCGATTTTGACCTTCAACCTGGTCATTTCTAATGCTGTCAGGTGCGGCTTTCGACCTCAAAAAGAGCCTCAGGCGTAACCTGTTCCCGGCATCTTACCCCTCCGCTCGCAGTGGCCCGAAGGGGGAGGGCATCGACAAATACCACAGGTGAGACCTCGGCGGGGCGAGTTTCTAATTGGCTGTTCCTGACAGAATATAGCTTCGCCTTCAACACAAGCAGGGCAGCTCAGGACTTCCCGAAAGTCTATGCCCAGTTCCGATGGGGAGTGAAGGAGCTTCGCTGGGACGTACGTCATACTAAGTGAAGCTGCAGACGCCAGGCTAACAACAACCCTAGATCTATGACACAAACTACCAGGAAAAGAACTGGAAGTACCCTCCTGTCGTGGGCCAGAACGGCTACGTCGGCTCTGCCACATTCTCTCCCTATGCTTCTTCCTTTAGCAATTTTGATCCGGCCACAATGGACAAGAATCGTGTCCTTCCTTTCCCCGTAGGTGATATTGAACGTACCACGTCCTGGGAGGAAGCCACGGAACGGTTCTGGTGGCTAGGCAAGCTGGCCAACGGCACAGACATTGCGCCTGGCAATTACACGTAAGAAAACTTCCTGGCGCATGGGTTCTCTTCTTTTCTCGTGCTGACAAGACCGATGTTGCGTAGAATGAGGTTCGCAGCTCGTCTTCCGTTCAGCAACCCTGATCATTCCGACAACTGGCATATCTGGGACACGCCTAAGATCCAGGTTCGACCTCTACAGTGAGAGGCCCGGTAGTGGCACTCACGACGCAGGGTGTAGATTAATTGAACAAGAACGAAAGATGGCCCAGCTGGACGCAACCGCTCGTAGGAGTAATTAAACCCGAAAGACTGCCCCTCGCTCAGGAACATCAAACTCTAATTTGTGTCCGTCGCCCATGTCGGCTCCGCTGATTCATGACCCTGGCATGCTTTGTCACAGCCTTGGAGAAGCACGTCAGCCGCAAAAATGGAGAAAAAGAATCACTAGACTCGTTTGCCGTGCCTGGCATCCGAGCCTCCCATATAGATTAGTAGCCTAACCCCTCGCACGTGGAATGTGACCTCTTCCCCACACCACCGTGAGTGTGTGACCCGTCACCGTGGCGCTGCAAGGACTCCCCGCCCCGCATTTACCGAGCCCGAGCCGCTGAACTGCCCGTGGGGCCCCGGACCCCAAGTCTTCCTCTCTATAATAACGTGTGCTTGTTCACCCAATACGACACTGAGTTTTTCCAATGCAGACAAGCTTTGACTCAACATGGCCGACTCACAGTTCACGTTCAGCAACCTAATTAACGGGGTGCTGAGGCCCGGTGCCTCGGTCACCCAGGGCATCAACCCTTCTGACAGAAAGCCGTTGTGGGATGTTCCCTTGGCTTCCCGACAGGATCTCGAAGACGCAGTCGCTGCGGCCAAGGATGCTTTCCCGGCTTGGAAGAAGGCCACTTGGGCGGAGAGGAGTCGCATCGTTAGCGCGATACGCGACGTTCTGCTTGAGAATTCAGAGCAGATGGCGACTCTGCTGACCAAAGAGGTCGGCAAGCCAGTATGAGCTGTCTTGGAACGGGAAGGCGAGAGACTTGACTGATTGCTTCTCAGATCGAATTTGCGAGGATTGAGGTTGATCACTCTAGCAACTTCCTTCAATTCAACGGTACGTTCCCAAGTTTTCGTTAAGGCGAAATGGCTAACATTCAACAGCGGGATTGCCCGAGCCGGAGGAGAAGGTCACGCTGGACGACGAAACACTCCGTCTCAGTATCAGACAGCAGCCAGTTGGCGTTGTCGTGGCTATCTGCCCCTGGAACTTTCCTCTGGTCCTGGCAGTGGCCAAGATCGCCGCGGCCTTGATTACCGGCAATTGCATCATTCTGAAGCCCTCGCCATTCACACCTTACTCCGTCCTCAAGTTCGCAGAGTTGACAAACCATCTCCTGCCGAAGGGTGTGCTCCAGGTGCTGCATGGCGATGCGAACCTCGGTCCGTGGATGTGCTCCCACCCCGGCGTCGACAAGATCACCTTCACTGGGTCCACAGCGACAGGCAAGAAGATCATGGTGAACGCCGCCGAGACGCTCAAGACCATCACTCTGGAGCTCGGCGGAAACAGCGCGAGTATCGTCTGCGGCGACGTCAACCCCAAGATCGTGGCGCCACAGGTTGCTATGGGGGCATTCTTCAACTCGGGCCAGTACTGTCTCGCGAGCAAGCGGATCTACGTCCACGAAAGCATCTACGATGAGTTCCTTGCCGAAATTGTCAGCACTGTGAAGGGCTGGAAGGTCGGGCCCACATCCGATCTCGAAGAAGGCATCATGCTGGGCCCCGTGCAGAACGAGATGCAGTACGGCATCGTGCACTCCTTCTTCAGTGAGGCTGTCGACAATGGTTTCAAGTTTGCGCTTGGAGGACCCATCCCCAAGGCCGAGGATGTCAAGAACTTTATTGTGCCGCCTGCCATCATCGACAACCCTCCGGACGAATCCCTAGTTGTGAAAGGCGAAGCTTTCGGTACGTCTCACTATCCTCATCATCTTTCCTTGTCCCAAACCCATTGGCTAATGTCGCAAAGGCCCCATTCTCCCGATTTTGAAGTGGTCTACCGAAGACGAGGTGCTCAAGCGCGTGAATAACACGCAAACGGGCTTGGGCGGTACTGTCTGGTCGTCTGACCTCGTGCGAGCGCGAGCCATCGCCGAGAGGGTCGAATCAGGCACCATCTGGATCAACAGCTTTGAGAAGCCGCTGCCGCACGCTCACCTCAACGGTTACAAGGAGAGCGGCGTCGGCGGCGAATGGGGAGCGGAGGGTCTGGGATCGTACCTCAAGCCACAGGTCATCCACTCGTACAAGGCTTCGCCAGTGTAGATTAGTGCATGTTCCAAATTCCAAATTCGATGCATAAAGTACCGCCATCAGGCAACAAGATATTCATATGTCAACCTCGGGCTCGGTAGTTACACTAGGCATAATCGCCAACATCCCGGCTAAGAAGCCGAAAACATGAGCCACGTTGTGACGTTTGGGGATGCGGGGGATTTCTCCACCCCCACCAAGTTGCTTTGACCCTCTATTAGTGCCCAGCTTATCCAGCTACCAGTTTGGTGAGCTGGGGGCTTCGGCAACTGGCATGCGGAGACTTGCCGTTCCCCACTGTGCCAGGGGTTTGATCTGGCCTAAAGTCGTGATAAAGAAGGTAACTTCATGCCGTCTTGACTCCCAAAACTTATCATTAGTATTCGTGGGCGGGGAAAACAAGTCATGGCATCATCGCAGTCAGCTTCTGTCGTGGTGGTGAGTGCTCTCATTTCCCTCTCCACTCAAGCTCACCATGACCAACCTGACTTGATTCTCGCAGAGAGACGGGGCGAACTTTGAGTTCCAAGTCCGAGACGTTCCCATTCCAGAGATCAAACCCAGCGAGATCCTGGTGAAGCTCTCAGCGACCGGCGTCTGCGGAACAGATCTCGGTCTCGCGGCCGGCTACCTGGGTCCCAGCTGCGATATTCTGGGCCATGAAGGTGTCGGCCGCGCCGTCGCCGTGGGCGCCGCCGTCGACCCAGCCATCGCCAAGGTCGGCGACCGCATCGGCGTCACCTGGGTCCGCGACGCCTGCGGCCGCTGCTTCTCGTGTCGCGAGCCTGGCGGCGAGACGCGGTGCCTCGAGCAGCTCAACTCGGGACGCAAGATTGACGGCACCTTCGCCGAGTACTGCGTCGTCCCAGGGCGCTTCGCGCTCGTGTTGCCGGAGGATCCGGCGCTGCCTGACGAGCTCGTCGCGCCCGTGCTCTGCGGGGGCGTCACGGCGTACAAGGCGCTGAAGATTTGCGGTGCGACCCCTGGCCAGTGGGTCGTCATTTCTGGTGCCGCTGGCGGCGTCGGCGCCCTCGGCATCCAGTACGCCGTGGCCATGGGCTACCGCGTCGCTGCCATCGACGTGGGTACCGAGAGGAAAGATTACTGCCTTGGGCTCGGGGCCGAGATCTATCTCGATGCGCTGTCGAAGGATGTGGTTCAACAGTTGAAGGATGCCACGGATGGCGCTGGAGCCAAAGCCGTCATCGTGTCGTCTGGGTCGGGCGCGGCGTACCAGGCGGGCCTCGCCATGCTGGCCATGTTTGGGACTCTTGTGTGCGTTGGCATCCCGCCGCCGGGTCAAGGGCTGGACTTGCATCCTCTAGTTGTCATCGACAACAGTATCACGATCATCGGCAGTGCTGTGGGGACTCGGACAGATGTTATTGAGGCTCTCGAATTCGTGAAGAGGGGGCGCGTCAAGCCGTTAGTGAACCTCGTCAAGCTTGGGGACCTTGACCAGGTCATTCGCAAATTGGCAACGGTATGTACCGCACCTTCAACATTCTTTATTCCGTGGCTGATACTTGTAGACCACCGGAAAATATGTCGTCAAGCTTTGATGCATTGGCTACGGTCGTGAGATGAGGGGAGGTCGTCATTGAGATGGGCAACACTAGCATTGAGTGATACTATAACGCATTACTATTCAAGACTTTCAGGCCCGTATCAAATGAGGACGAATGTTCAAGCGGTAATAAATGTGCCATGTGTGGTTTGTCCAGTAATTTCAACACATTGTAGATGGGCATGCCTTCGAATCTTGCCTGGTCAATTGCCATCTTTGTTTCACATGGATATCTTGTTAATGATGAATTCTCACATCCAGGATCATCTTTCATATCAGGTAGCAGTGGTGTAATTCTGTGAGGCTGATTTCACCCCCTGGAGGCTGACAGTAATTGCCTGATAGTCGTGGCAGCTTCACATAGGTTACCTTGTCGCGATGGACCTCAGCCACGATGCCAGCCAGGATTGGCCACTGTTCCAAGAGGCTGGGACGAGCTTTGACGTCCGCATCAGCTAGTCAGGTGCACTTCGGGGTTTGATTCCCAGTTTGTATCACCCACCTCTAGTCGAGCTTCACGTCACCTGCGGAGTTCGCTTACTACGCCTCGCTGCTACCTGACACATGAGCCAATACATTGAACGATGAGCCAGACACAATTGCCTAGGTTTCCTTCAGACATCGTTCGAGTATGACGTCACACAGCCTTCAGCTGAAGCTGTGATTCTGAAAGTCTTAGTGAGAGTAAGATCGGAGTCCGGCATCAGCTGAGAGGCGGCTGCTCATCTCTTGTAAGATTCAATGGACCCCAACTTGAGGAATCAATAACATCGCCTCGTGGGAGCCTCCTTTCGGCATTGCTGGTGTTTTCTTGCAGTCTACTATTGCTACATTTTGATGGAAGGCAAAGGTTCAGTTTCGGTAATGGACCGTTGACTACACCGCTAGTTTCCCCCAATATAGTACGATGTACATGATCAAGTATTGGTGTTGTATCTTTCTGCACGTGGCACTGCCTCTTCATGCAAGATGAGATGACGTTAACTCGGAAAATATGTCTTTGGGTCAAGAATGAGGCTTGAATTGTGTTACTCTATCTGCGCCGCCGTTGGCGAACTAAAAACCTCGAGATTGGAACGACCAGACGGATGTCGAGGACTGGCTGTGCTTCTGACATGTGACGACCTACCAGTCTCGTTACTCATCTTAAGCCCATCATGCTGCTTCGAGAAGCTCAGTGATAAGAGCTGACATTTTCCTTCTTCCACGTGACTAGCGAATTTCAGAACGTCAGTCGGAGCTCAAGCAGCATGAAAAGTGGCTGAAGGAGACCTTTCTATATAACAGTGGCCCGTCACACGACCATCATTTACTCTTACGCCTTCTCTCGCCCAGATACAGATATTCGGCTACTTGACCCACCAAAAAACTTCGAAATGGAAACCTATCATGATTTCATAGTTGTTGGAGGTGCGTTAAACTTGCCTCAGTGCTCACAGAGTAATGTCAGCTCACAAACACGACATTGGGCTTCATGCTCCTGAGCTTGACTTTGTTGACTGATTTGGTAGGCGGCCCCGCCGGATGTGCCACAGCTGTTGGCCTCGCGAAGTCTGCCCAAAGACCAACTGTTCTTCTTCTAGAAGCAGGCGGTCCGAACGAGGATCAGGCCCTGCGCGTGGACGGCCGGCGGTGGCTCAACTTTAAGAATGAAGAAGCCAACTGGAATTACCAGACGACGCCCCAAGAGCACTGCAACAATCGTGTCATCGACTATTCACGAGGAAAAGGACTTGGCGGCTCCTCGGCGATCAACTTCGGTGTCTTCAGCGTCGGGCCCAAGGACGACTATGACGAGTGGGCCCGCATTACAAACGATGATGCCTACGGCTGGCAAGCGATGCAAGCCCGATTCAAGCGTCTCGAGTCGTTCCACGGCAGCCCCCCCACCGGCATCGACGCAAAGTACGTCTCACACAAGGCTGAAAATCATGGTACCTCCGGACCACTGCATGTTGGCTACGCAGCCGAGTGGGAGAGAGATTTGACCCCTTTGCTTGACGTGTTCGAGAAAGCCGGCTACCCGCTGAATACCGATCACAATTCCGGCAATCCACTCGGCGCATCAGTTGTGATTAACTCCAGCCATGCCGGACGTCGCACAATGGCTCAGGATATGTTGACGCCTGGCCTCGAAAACCTCGACGTGCTTACCGGAAGGCCTGTGCAGCGGCTCATTCTTGATGGCACCAAAGCCATTGGCGTAGAAGCAAACGGAATCAAGTGTACGTGCGATCTAGAATCCCCTTTTTGCTTCCCTTGGCGATACATGCTTAATCCCCACGACAGACTTCACTACTCGTGAGGTTATAGTGTGTGCTGGAGCCATGGACAGCCCGAAGATACTCATGCACAGCGGCCTTGGTCCTCGGAAGCAGCTTCAGAGCTTCGGAATACCTGTCGTGGCTGATGTGCCAGCTCTCGGACAAAATCTACGCGATCACATGTTCTGTCCTCTCGCATTCTCTCGTGTGGAGGGAGATACCGATCGAGCATTTTTCTACGGAGATCAAACGGCCATGGATGAGGCAACCAAGCAGTGGGAGGAGAGCGGCACAGGAGGCTGGTCAAAATTTGCCTGCGAACTTGGCATTGGTTGGTTCAAGTCCCAGGGTTTGGTGCAATCGAAGGAGTTCGACGCGCTTCCAGCCGACGAAAAGGCCTACCTGAACAAGGCAACGATCCCGCATTTCGAGATTATCAGTCACTTTCCCATACACTGGTTTATCCCAGACTTTTCAAACGACAGGCTCAACTATTCCAACTTCTTAGTCTTTCACCAGAATGCGCTCAGCAAGGGCGAGGTCACACTTCAGTCAGCTGACCCGGGCGTTCCTCTCAAACTGGATCCAAGGTATCTGGAGTCACCGTTCGACCACCGGGTTGCAATCGAAGCCCTGCGAGAAACACTCAAGCTTTGCAAGCACGAGAGCTATGCCAAAAATACTACTGGCATCATCATCGGTCCGTCAGGAGATTCGGATGAAGAGCTGCTTGAATACTGGAAGGCCGCCGGATCTACATGTTGGCATATGACTGGCACTGCAAAAATGGGAGCCCCGGAAGATAGTGGCACAGTTGTTGACCATGACTTCCGGTTCGTGGGCATTCAGAACTTGCGCGTTGCTGACATGAGTGTCGTGTCGATTCTGCCAAACTGTCACACGCAGGTTGTGGCCTATTTGACTGGGGCTACGTGCGCGGACAAGTTGGTTGATGAATATAACTTGTCGTGAGTGAGGATGTGAATTTGTGCGGAGCATAGCAACCGATGCACCTCTGATTATGATGGCAAACACGTTGGAACTCATTAATGAATTGGAGTCACAATAATGAATTGAGTAACTTGCGGCTTCAAACTGATGCTCGTGCCCACAGGAAGCTTGTCGGGCCAATTCGTCTCTCAACATCCTGCTCCGGCGGAATTGTTCTGGCGAAGGTAATCACATCTCTATGACTAGTCGCAACATTTCAATGAAACAGCAAATTGCATCGCTCCATACGTGGGAATGCTCAGAGGATCAAGGGGGGGTTTCCTGGTACAGTGGCGACTGAGGCCCTCTGGCCGCTTTGCTTGCAGACATCCACGCAACAACGAACAGTGCAGATTTGGCAGATAATTTGGTTCCCGAAGTAGCCAAACTTAGGTTCGAGGGTTCGGCCTATACTACAGTCCCTCGCCAGGCCTGAACGTGCGTTAAGCACAAGCTGTAAGGCCTACAAACGACATGGCCTTGACCGCGTTAGTAGCTGAAGATGATAGCTAACGAAGGTGGCCACAGAATGTTCTAGTCAGAACACGAAAACAAGTGTTCTACGTGGCAGCACACAAACTGATTTCTGGTTGGCGCTTACGACGTTGCAGCTTCCAAGACAAAATCTTCCCGTTGTGTAGAAGGTTCGCGTAGCGGGGAATATATCACCACAGTTCGACTTCTGCACCTAGTATGGGATTTCCCAGGCAACGGGGACCTGATTGAAACGGCTTGGGGTTCTGCAGGGCGAGGTCTAATCGATCTCGTCGTGGTACCTCTGTCAAACTGCCTTCTCGCACATCAAAGCCTTTTTTACCATGCTCATTGCCACCCAGAGATTAACGCCCTCCTCCGTGAGGCCATGTCCATCGCAGACTCTGCTTCACGGAGCTTACAGTTATGACGAACCATCTGTGACAATCTTCAGCCACTCGAACAATTACATCACTTGGGTCTTGTTCTCGAAATTCATCATGGCTTAGTATATCGCGGCAAGCTTATTTCCGGTTCTCTCTCAATGTATCCAACACGAGGGATAGCATCCTGACGTCGCGAAGAAACACTTCAGCTTCGGGCTTCCTCGTCAAATTTTCCCTGTCCATAGCAAACGGTGACGTCGAAACAACAGTATCGAGAAAAACCGCGCATCGCGATGGTCGCGGCGCCTTGGCCATGTCAGTGACGCAACAATGGGCATCCTCCGGGCCCTCGGCACCAGCACGTCCGCCGATCACAACATCGTTCCACACGCCTTGCAGAGCCGCTTGAGCAGCTAAAATAGTAGGCTAGTGGCGAAGGCCAGCAGGCGAGCCAGCGGTCGGTGAGTTATTCCTACAGCGAAGACCTTTCTCAGGTCGTGTGTGCGGGTATCGTTCGGGGCGGAGCGAAGACATCAGACGCGCGGGTCCAATGGGGCCTGACGCATTTATTACTGCGTGCAGTGGTCTGCGGGAGATATTTCTGGATGGACAGTACACTTCGTGGTGTGGCTGTCGTCACGAATAGCAGCAGTAATCAGGCCCTCTCGCGATACGAGGACGAAAAAAGCATAGCCGGGGTGTCCGGCCGAATGCCCAGGGTCACGGGATCATGTAGTCATTCGCCCTGGCATCGGCTCGTGTGGCTCGTGTCGTGTCGCCCGACCGTCCTCTGACGGCGGTATCCCTACAAGGTCAAAAATCAATAGTGTGCAAGAGGTGCCGGCAGTCAATTGATATATCCGAGCGAGATCTCAAAGCGCCTCGCCGACTGACGGGACTCACTCCGTACGGTTCTCTCCGCAGCAGATGAGGTGGGATGAATTTCGTTTGTGTTCAATGAATGTCTCGGTAGGGTAGGCGTGTACTGCCCTGGGATGCGACCCTTCCCTTCCGACGAGAAGCTTAAAGAAATTGGCTCCATTATTTGAATAGACGTTGAAATAGCGTGGAATGTTGGGATCGAGCCCAGTGCCCGGACATTTGGGATCTCTTTGTTTCCCTTGTCCCCTTCTTCGCCTCGCTGTCTCACCACGGGCCCCTCCGCTCTACCCTTTTGTCGCGACCCTTCTTCTGGTTCTAAGGACTGAGGGATGTTTTGTGCTGTGGACGCCGGATCAGGGCTGGCGTGCCCGTGGCCAGGCGCCAGTGGCCAGGCGCCAGTGTTCATCGTGATACGACGGTAGGCGAAGCGAACCGCCCGTTGGCGTAGCAGGCGCCTCCACCTCGAAGCCAAAGCCCCAGCACCCAAGACGATCCAGACCCAGAAATAAGCATCCAATCAGGGGGGCTGGGGGATATGCAAATAGAGGGTGAAAGAGAAGACGGGGGGCGTGAGAACCACCAGAGGGGGCGAAGAGGGTCGGCGCAGTTCCGTCCGTCGGTAAAAACGGTCCTCATCCTTGGGGCCCGCCGAGCTAACCGAAAAGGGGTAAATGGGGAGAGACCATAGGGCGAGCGAGGCGCACGTTGGCTGTCGCACGTTTGATTCCTAGTCGGGAGATTCCTCGCCTTGGTGGGCTTTTCTTTGTTCGGCTTCTACGGCCATCTTACGACCCTAGCCTGCCATCTGATCAACGGCGCGCGTCTTGGCGGCCGCGTGGAGGCTCAGGGACCACCCTCTGCACCGGGCTCAAGGGGAAGAGTGGCAAGACAGGCAGGACAGGCGAAAGGTTGAGTTACACAACAGCTGTTTCGCGTCCCCAGTGCCTGGGGGAGAAGGCCAGTGAACCACCGCGCAGAAGAAGTAAAAGTCGAAGGCGAAGAAGAACACATGGTGGGGCCGGCAAGACGAACTGGAGGGCTGAGGCTGGGCGGACTTGCGCTTGGATACGAACGACCGGGTCGCGGCACCTGTTGGTTGCACACAGAGCCACGTTGGCCGGCGCCCAGCTTCTTTGCAGCCACCGAGTCTCTCTGGTCTGCAGCGCCTGGTTGCCAGGCAGCACAGACAGACAGAGAGTCAAAACCAGTCTGGAGGGGCTGGTCAACGTGAATTGACGTCAGGGTACACCCGCGCACGATGGTTGTGTGCACATGTGCCCGACTCTCCTCGGAGTCTCGTTCTTTTCTTAGGTATTCCCACCTGCAGCACCCCTGTTGATCTCTGTGTTGGCAAAATGATTGGGCGAGGCATCCTTACCAGTCCTCCAAGTCAGTAGGCATGATGGAGACATGACCGCGATGGTCGTATGGTTGTGAGGTAAACAGACGAACCAGAACTGGATTGAATAATTATCCCGACGATGGATCTAACAAGCCTGAACACATTCAGATGGCTCGGTCGATCGATGGGCGCGTGGGCTAGCTCCTCTTCCCTCTCGATTTCATTCCAGTGCCCCATCTTGGTGGTTTCTGCCCCTTCTCGAAGGACCCCCCCTTAAGGATGCATAACCGGTATCTTTGTTCCACAACCCGCCCCCCCCAATGACGATTTCAACAGTCGCTAGTGTGGGTGAAAGTTGGCAGCAGAGCCTACCCTACCCCTGACTAAAATGCCTAGCGTACCGGCTACTCAGTTCGCTATCAACCTGGCCACGAGGTGATCAGTGCGTCTGTCACTGATGACTTATGCCCTCATATCGCTACTCAAACTCTCCGAGAATGGGAGCTCGGAGGTGAGGTCGCTTTCTCAATTTGGATGAGCATTTAGGCTTTGCTCAGCCCGAATGGCTTTGATAACTTTGCACGGTCGACGGGGGTATCCCAGGGCATGACATATCGCTGTCCAGTGGTGGAATCCCGCGCCCTGGCCTCATCCCTGCTCGCCCTATGCAGCCCACACCACCCCATGCTCGGATCGAACTGTATACCCTTGAGGGCTGGTTAACAACAGCACACAGGAGTGGAGGTCCCGTGCTGGTGGGCAGACGTGGCTCCCGGGCCTCGTATTACCTCGACCTACATGTACCTTTCTAGGGCCTCGTCTAGGGCCGAAAACTCTAGCAGGCCGTGCCTTTTGCCGGACACCCGTTGATGTCCTCACGCTCTCCACTGCGGGATGGAGGGGCCATCTAGCCCGTGAGGCGCTGCCAGGGTACGAGGCGCCGAGTACGACGAGGGTGTCCATCGAGAAGGTTGTGGGTGTACCATGTACCATGTACATACGTGTGCTCCATCCAAAGTCATGAGAGCCGCGCCTTTAAAGGACCGCTGCTCGTGAGCGAATCCTTCTAACGGCAGGCTCTTGCTTCCCTTTCATCCCCATCTAAATACCCTTGAGTCGCTCGTTAAGACTTCCTTCTCCTTGGTTCGCCCTTCTCAACCGTCGTTTCCTCGATCCAGTCATTCGCTTACGGCACGAGAAACTTCGAACAACAAGTCAAGATGCGTGGTATCTTCCTGACCCTGGGCGCCCTTGCTCTGGCCACTGTTGAGGCCAACAAGTACCCCAACTGCGTACGTTTCACCAGTCTTCGAGCCAAAGAAAAAAAAACATCAGACGGCACATCGAACCCCTCAGTAGCATACTAACCAGCTTAACAGGAGAACGACAACTGCTACCGCAACCTCATCGACACTCGCTTCAAGTCTGAGGCTGATCAGCTCTGCCCTCAGTGGCTCGCCGGCACCACCACCGCCGCCGCCGCCGTTCCTACGGCGTTCAGCAACTGCGATGCCACGGCGCTGTCGTCTGCTTGCTCCTGCATCACCTACTGGAACACCCACGTCAGCAGCACCGCCGTTCCCACGCCCAGCTCCTCCTCTCCCGTTCTCTCCAGCACGGAGGCTTCCACCACCAACTACCCCGTTCCTTCCAGCCCGGCCTCGTCTCACTCCAGCGTGCCTTCGTCGAGCCAGCCTCCCGTCAGCTCCTCCGTCACCTCTGACGCCCCCGTCCCTTCGAGCACCGAGACTGATCAATGCGATGAGTCCACCGAGGTGGAATCCTCGCAACCTGCGACCTCTCACCCTGCGTCCTCGCAGCCAGTATCCTCGCAGCCCGCGTCCTCGCAGCCTGCTTCCTCTCACCCTGTGTCCAGCATGCCTGCTGTGTCTACAGTGACGTCTGAGGCCCCCGTCCCCTCGAGCACCGAGACTGACGAGTGTGACGAATCTACCGAGGTGGAATCCTCGCAACCTGCGACCTCTCACCCTGCGTCCTCGCAGCCTGCCTCCACTCACCCTGCGTCCTCGCACCCTGCCTCTTCGCAGCCCGCTTCCTCGCACCCTGCCTCTTCGCAGCCCGCCTCCTCGCAGCCCGCTTCTTCGCAGCCTGCCTCCTCTCACCCTGCCTCTTCGCAACCCGTGTCCTCTCGCCCCGTGTCCAGCAAGCCTGTCCAGTCGACCATCACCTCCCAGGCCCCTGCTCCTTCCACCACTGAGAGCCACCCTGCCCCTTCGAGCTCTGGCAAGGCGTCTAACACCACCATGGTCTACCACGTTCCCACCACTTCAAAGGACCAGACCACGACCGTCCACACGACCGACTTCACCACCTCGACCATTTACACCACCAAGGTCCGCACCATCACCTCGTGCGCCCCTGACGTCACCAACTGCCCCAACGGCCCTCACGTCACCACTGAGACCTACGCCGTTACCACCACCGTCTGCCCCGTCACCGAGACTGAGAAGACCGAGACTGAGAAGACCGAGACTGAGAAGACCGAGACTGAGACGACTGTCGAGACCCCTCTCCCCACTCAGCCTCCTCACGGCTACACCACCTCGACCGTCTACACAACTCAGGTCCGCACCATCACCTCGTGCGCTCCTGACGTTCCCAACTGCCCCAACGGCCCTCACGTCACTACCGAGACCATTGCCGTCTCGACCACCATCTGCCCCGTCACTGAGGAGGTCCCTGTCCACACTCCCACCGCTGTCTACCCTGTTCCTCAGCCTTCTCACCCTGCTCCTGAGCTCCCCGAGCAGCCTGAGCAGCCCAATCACCCCGTCTACCCTGCTCCTGAGCCTTCTCACCCTGCTCCTGAGCAGCCCGGGCACCCTGCTCCTGAGCCTTCTCACCCCGCTCCTGAGCAGCCCGGGCACCCTGGTCCTGAGCCTTCTCACCCCGCTCCTGAGCAGCCCGGGCACCCTGCTCCTGGTCCCTCCAACCCTGCAATCGTTCCCGTGCCTGTTCCCTCTCACCCTGCTCCCGAGCACCCCGCTCCCAAGCAGCCTGAGCACCCCGCTGCCGCTCCTCCTCACCCTGCCCCCGAGAAGCCCGAGCAGCCTGCTCCTGCCCCTACCACGAAGGCCCCGGCCGTCACCCCTGTCACCACCCTCCACACCGCCGTTCCCACCACCTCCAGCCCTGTTGAGGTTGGTGAGAACGCCGCCGGCCGTCTCGGCTCTGGTATCGAGGTCCTCGCTGCCGCAGCTGCGGTCATGTTCGCCCTCCTGTAAACAGGCTGAACATGGCGCCTCGTTTCCTTTTCATGACTATACTGTCCGGGCTTTGATGCCCTGTTCAAAGGGATGATTAGACTATACTTTTAATCTTCACGATGTATATATTCATCATGACACTTTTTTTTTCCGTGGAGGATGGGACAGATAGGCAGTTCAAGACGAGTACAATCAATCTGTGGCCCAAAATATGAAGTGGATGTTCCCTGTGATGAAAAGGTGTGGGCAGTAGCAAAACACTAGCACTGCTCCTTGTTAAAGATGGATCCTGAATTGGGACATCCTATGTAGAGTATAGAAGTGGCATCGTTCAAGTCGTATCTGTCAAGTCCAATGTATATTATATTCTTTCTACTTTTATGGCCTGTTGACTTTCAAGCCCGGCCTCCTCTAGCAAACGTTCAAGCCTTGCAGCCGCCCTCCAGGTGCAGCTCAAACTCATAGCTGGAGAAGAGGAATGGCGCGACACCCTTGAGATCATTCTCGAACAGCGGCTGGCTTGCGTAGTACTGCGAATGCACTGTTAGCTCAGATCTTCGGATGCGATGCTAGGTTTTCGTTTCACTCACCTCAAAAGTGCCGTTCGAGCTCAAGCTGCCGGTCTGCACAGTCCACTCCCAGACGAGCGCGCCATCAGAGTCCCGTGGCACAGAAAATGTCTCCGTCATGAGCTCATAACCAGACAGCGCGGCGTTGAGATATTTCTTGCCGTCGATGAGGCCAAGACGGAGACCCTTGAGCAGGCCGTAGACGAACATGGCCGAGCCGGAGCTCTCAATGTAGTTGCCCCACTCGTTCTCCAGGCCAGGGTCCATGACGAGATACCAGCCCTTGGTCTTCTCGTCCTGGGCGGCGACAACGGCATCGGAGACGGACTGGAGGTAGCCGACTAGACGATCGTAGCCATCATGGTCCTTGGGGAACAGCTCGATAACGTCAACAAGAGCCATGATGTACCAGCCAACAGCGCGGCCCCAGACGTGAGGCGAGGCACCAGTCTCGGGATCGGCCCAGATGGACTTCTTGCTGTAGTCGAATCCGTGCAGAGGCAGGCCGTTAGTGCGGTTCCGGTCAACCGTGGTGCCGGCGTCGATGAGGTCAAATTGGAGGGCGATGTCGTCCCAGGCGGTCGAGTTGTCGGGCTCGAACTCGCGGGTCCAGCGGGCATAGAAGACGTCGAGCATGTAGATGCCGTCAAGCCACATCTGGTCGATGTAGACCGGGTAACGGTGGTAGAAGCCACCGTCGGGCGTGCGGTAAGTGCGGTCAATTTGCTTGCGCAGGGTCGAGGCAGCCGTCTTGTAAATCTCGTTGCCCGTCTTGTTGTAAATGTCGAGGAACGTATGTCCGAAGCGGATATCGTCGATCGAGTTACTGTTGTTGTACAGCAAGATGGTGCCGTCCCACTCGGGGTAGAGGATGATATCGGTGGCGTGCTTGACGTAGTCAAGGTACTTCTGGTCGCCAGTGCGCTCGTACGCCAGCATGACGCCCGAGTAGAATGACGAGATGGTGTAGGCGTGAGTGGGTTCGACTCCATGCTTAATCTGGGAGTCGGCCATCCATGTCAGGTAGCGAGGCTTGCCCTTGAGATCGCCAGCTTGAATCTCGTCATCAGGGGCGATGGAGAACCAGCCGGTGGGCAGGTCGACCGCCGAAGCGAGTCCGGCAAAGACCGCGGTGGCTGCTGCGACGAAGGTGCTCTTCATGGTGATGGTTGTGAGATGACAGAAGGTGGTGTCCTGGCTTCTTCGGAGCTGACTACCTGTCGTCGATTGACCCGAGGCTTCTTATACAGCAGAAAGTCATCACCGCCGGCATCAATTGACAGTCGCCGAAATTGCCAAGAATCGTGTCCTCGCGAACATCAGCCATCCCTCGTCTCTGACTTCGGCCAGGTTCCGCCTTTTCCGATACCGACATGGAGCTTTTCACGACTCTGGAAGCAATTCAAAAGCTCACTCGTGCTGATGTCATAACGATCGACCAAGGGTCCAACGGCAACTGGCACGGAAAAGCCTGATTGTATACGCCGTGTCGTGGGCTCTTCTGCGGAGCTCGCTGATCTCCCATCGCGGGGAAGATATGACGGCGTGGGGAATGTGACGGTAGTTCTGGAGATTAGATGCGGGGGAGGAATTAAGCTTGTTTTTACAGGTCGACACGAGTGCTCTCCCCTGGAAGGAAACATATTTCCTCCTACTGTGAGCTCTGGGGTAGATGGTAGGCTAGTGCCGAGTCGGGGGGACGATCATCGTGAAAACAATCTTACACCAATCGGGCTGGTCATCGTCCGGGGGGGAGTCTGATCGAAATGTCTCTGCACAGCCACCTCGGCAGGGGGACACGGTGATCTGAAGCTATTCACGCAGGTCGAAGCGGTGGTTTGTGCTGGTAATGCTTATCCGCAGGGTCGTATCGTTTCCGTGCCTGCGTTCTTTTCCGAGGCTGCGAGATGCAATCAATATGCGGTGAATGGCGGAGATTTGAACAGTAAACCGAGGAGATGGCAGACATTCTAACTAGAATTGAGCTGTTTGCGAGTCGATCCATCATGCATCATTACACAAGAGAGTGAGGGGGTGAGCGGGAAGGCTGGGGTTACGGCCGCTCAGTTCGGCTTGGGGTAGCAAGGGTCTGAGAGGGGAAGATGTATTTTTTTTTCCCTCTCTCTCTCTGTAATGCGCAAGGCTGGAAGCTGTCGGCGTGGAATGCAGTACTGCTCTCGATCTTGCGGGTCCGATCGAATGTCTCAGCCCACTGGCACGGACCCTGAGAAGTTTTTCTCAACGACGCCAGAATTTGCTTTTGGCTTGGTTTGCAACTTAGACGAGTGACTTGACAGCTTGTTTGAGGAAAGTTCATACCACGGACGCTATGGAAAACAATGGTCGAGCACGAAAACTACACAAACCTCCAGGCCGAGAAGGAACACCACCGAGAAAGCAAACAAAATATCCGTACGAGTGGCCGGAACAAGTCATCACGTCATAAAGCCCTTCAACTCAGTGTGTGCCGTTGATCTTGATGCCCTCCAACTTCTTCTCCCTTCGCGCGAGCTCCTCAATCCTCTTCTTCGGCTCACTAACAGGCTTGACAGGCTTGGCCAAACCAAACACGGCGAGGAAATTGAAGAATAGAGCGTAGAAGAAGAGGAAAAGATGGACGGGTCCGAGTTGCATCATTGGCATCAAACCGAGGGTGAAGTTGTCTGTGATCAGAGTCAGCACATATCGTCGGCAGACCACTCCCCCTCGACAGCGCTTACTGAATAGACCCCTCCTTCTCGAAACAACTTCCCACATATCGTCGGTCATCACGTTCGTCGCACCCTCCCATGCCCAGGGACCGACCAGCCTGAACTTGACTGTGAAATTGGGGGCAGACGCCCAGATCCAGGGCAATCTCCAGAAGGGTCCGGTGCCTTTGGTCAGGCCTAGCCTCACAACATCCTTGACGCCCGGCACGGCATTCATGTCCTCGGCGAGCTGGAAAGCATAGCTGTCATGCTCGACTCCATATGTCAGTCTGGCGCTGGGTGGCGCGATGATGCGGTAGTGCCACTGGTCGTCAAGCTTCAACGGCTTCCTCACCCGACCGGCGAGGTTCAGAATCCAGAGCATGGCCTGCAGCTCCGACAGCGGCGGAATCGCACCGAAGCCAGGGCGAACGAATCCAATGAACCCGACCGTAGGATCGTCACGCCTCCAAATCTCGCGCACGTCGGCCTCATCGGCTCGCGGGTAGGGCTTGCGACCCGTGTTGGCCTTTGCCTCGAGAAAGGGGAAGCTCTGAAGATAGCCGGTCGCGAAGACGATGACATCAGGCTTGATGACCTCATCCTTAATGCGCTGATAGTCCTCACCACCGTTGTCGCGGAAGTGGGCGACGCCATTGTCGTCAATATGCGTGGGATAGGGTGCAACGTCGATGAGGCGGTCGGCAACCTCGACTGGGGTGTGGACCATGAAGTTGCGGATGCGGTCGCCCAGTGTGGCGGGCTCGGTAGGGCGGTAGGGCGGCGAAATGTGCTTCGAGACCTTGGTCCAGGCCTTGTTGAAGAAGACTTTTGGGTTGGCTCACTGTCAGTACATGCAATCTATTACGGGCAGCTTGCTACGGAGCCACTCACGGCGCGAAGCATGAAGACGTTCGGGAGCGACGGGCCCGACGAACTGGTCAAACCCGAGGGCTGTGCCGGTGGAAATCCAGCTGCTGCCGACGGCTACCGAGTCGTAGTGGTCCCACACGATCATAGAGTCTCGGGCGACAGGGTGCACGTAGCTCGTGTCAAAGAGCGACAGGTGACTGACGTCGATGGGAAGGGAGCCGTCGAGGAATGTCTTGTTCTCTTCTTCGGGGATCTCCCAGATGCTGGGAAGGAGGCGAGTATTGGCGATGCGCTGACCAGAACTGTGAGCTTGACGATGTGGCTCTCGTACTCAGAAACCTGCTTACCTTTGGCGCTCCAAACCAACCGTGACGGTGGCACACGACGACTCTCTTGGTCGGCGCGTTGATGGCCAGGGCGCAGATATCGAAGCTTGTCTCGCCAACGCCAATGACCATAACGGTCTTGTCAACGCCAAACTGCTCACTATGCTTGAACTTCTCCGAGTGCATCACCACTGGCACATTCTCGACGCCCTTGAGGTCAGGAATGTTAGGTCGGTCATGGAGGCCGGAGCAGACGGCAACGGCATCACACTCCCACTCGATCTCTCCCTCGGGCGTCTCATACTTGATGACGTGGCCTGAAATATCACCGCGAACTACCGAGGCGACCTTCGTTGACAGATGAATATTCGGCCAGAGGCCGAACTCGGTCGCATACTCTTCAAGGTACTCGACGTAGCGTTCTGCTGAGAGGAAATCGGGGTCGTCGCGGCGGGGGCGAAAGTCCGAGAAGCTAGTCAGGAACTTCGACGACACGAGCTCAGCCTTTTCGTAGGTGTGGTGGAAGAAGATGCCGCCAATCTTGGGCGCAGCCTCGAATA